GGAGTGAGGAAGAGTGAAGGTTCTCCATTGTTCAGTTGGTGAGGTCGGCAGAATGGTCCCAGCACTCCCTTGGTGCAGCTGCTGTGCTGGTAGAATAACAAGTACCCAAGGTGCTGAGTGGCAGATGAGGCAGCCACGTGTTGGACAGACTCTAGACTGGAGTGACTTTGCTTTGGCTGAAACAAGATGGCTGAACCCCACAGGCGTTACTACCAGAGTTCCTTTTTATTCATCAACTTCCTTATATAGTCATGGGAAGGTGTTCTTACCTAGAGTAACCTCAAAAAAAGATGGAATTCCCATCAGACTGTCTTTTGACTTCCACACTGAGCAAAATGAGATCAAAAGGTTTGTCTAAAGGAGGCAAGGACCTGGGGAGGGGGACGGGGGGGCAGCTGACCGACCAGCCCAATTTTATCTGACTCCAATAGGGATAAATCTAAGATATTGGTTTTCAACTCTGCGACTCCTGCTTTGGCTTCTAATGGAGTCTCTCAACATGCCTCTCAGTCTTCCTTTTGGTTTTTTATTCTTGTATTCATTGTCTTCTGTCATTTTTCTGCTGCAAACGTGTATTTGCCTCTGAATCATAGTGTGAGCCTGAAAACCGAAAAACACTAAAAAGATGGAAGCTTCTTTTCATCTCAGTTCAGGAAAACATGTTAGCATGATCCATAGCATGAAGTGGCCAAGAAAACAAACAGTGCATTTGTTTGGTAATTCAAGAATCCATCTCTAATTAAAAAACAAAACAAAACACAAAACAAAACTAAAAATACGAGTAAGATGCACTTCAACTTTATGTCACACACTGAATCAGAAATAAAATGCCATATGTTCAAACTAGATATGAACATTAAAATTAAAGAACAGTAAAATATGTAAAAGTAAGCTAGATGTAGAATGCCTGTTGATTTTCCTACATGTCAGAGCTTTTCAGTTTATTTAATTAAGTATGGATGGAACCAAACTCTTGAAACTTATAGTATCTTGTTGGATTTTTTGGGCAGATTCCAGGTTTCTAGCACATCAGTTTGATTTCAAACTGTCACACCTTATATCATTTTATATATATTTTTTAATCTTTTAATTTTGTTATTGCTTAACACTAAAGAATACCCTCCATGGAAGAATGACTCTTAAATGTCATTCACAGAAATTTTATATTTTCCAAAGCATTTTTCCTTTATATCTTTAATAGTTTCAAAACACTGTGGGCAGATTTAATTGATATTTGACAAATGAATCAACTAAGGCGTAGAGTTCAGTGACTGTCTGAGGGCCACACAGCATGTTTCTGCATTCTCACTCTGTCACTTGGTTATGTGATTTCTAGATTGGGTGCTCATATGACCCCACTTGTCACCTTCACCATTGTTTCAATTCACTATTATTACCGTGTTGGAGCCAGTTTGGTGGTTCCTTTAAAAAAAACTAAAAAAAAAAAAAAAAAAAAAAAAAAAACAGATTGCTTATCCCAAGGCCAGCAAGATCATCCTCACAGGCCGGTGGGTGGAGGCAGGTAGAGAATCATCCCCAGGCCTCTGTGAATGGCTTTTGCATATAGTGCCAAGATTTTATGATCTCAACAGTTTTGTGTGGCACAATTCAATTAAAGGTCGTGAAATTTAATATGAACACCCTTTTACCAAACAATTTGATTTATAACAATTTACCTTAAGGAACTAATACAAATAATGAATCAAAGATATATGCACCAAAAAAAGATTCATTAACGAGGATATTTATGGTAAGAAACATAATTGGAAATTAATTAAAGGTCTACTCACAAGAAGTTGTTTAAATGAATTATAGTCAATCCACACAATGGAATATTGTACAGTACTTTATTTTTAAAATTTTTTTATTAGTTTCAGGTGTACAAAGCAACATAATGATTATTTACACCCCTTACAAAGTGATAACCCCTCCAAGTCTACTAGCCCTCTGACATCGTACATAGCTGTTACAATACCATTGCCTATATTCCCTATACTGTGCTTTACATCCCGTGACTATATATGCGTGCATGTGTGTGTGTATACATATATATGTATATATAGTCATATGTATTTAAATATAGTTGACATTCAATATTATTTTATATTGGTTTCAGGTGTACAGCACAATGATCAGGCATTTATACAATCTATGAAGTGATCTCCCGATAAGTCCAGTACCCATCTGACACCCTACATAATCTTTACAACATTATTGATTATATTCTCCATACTGTATTCCACATCCTTGTATTGTACAGTACTTTAAAATGGCTCTGTAGAGCTTAGCTTATCTACAGAGAAAGATTTCCACAATGTTCTATAAAATAAAATAAAAAATACCATTAACCGTGTGATGTATTTAGAATATATACAATTTACAAGTATTATCACTAGTTATACCTGGGTGATAGAATCATTAGTGATTTAAATTTTCTTCCAAACACTTTTAAAAATTTTTAAAAATTAGAATGCATACTAATGTTCCTTGTAATCAGGGAGAAAAGTAGGAAAAGAGGTTGATTTTTTTTTTCACTCACTTTGAGCATCTACATGGTGTATTTCCAAGTTTAAAATTCTTTTAATGGAACTGGGGTAAAAAAGAAATATTTGGTATTCTTGAAGTATTCAATAATAAGGGTATTTAATGGACTCCTGTATAGACAGAGATCTATTTGTTTTGTTCTATTCATTAGAGCTGGGGTGGGGGGCACCCAACATAAGTGACACATTATGATAATGCAGATGCTTGCATATGAAAACATTACCTAGCACAAATCCGAAATGACTTTTCCGCTGACATGACTAATGTTATTGCTGTTAATTAAGTGGCTTGTTTGGAAGAATAGAATAATTGTGAAATATGTTCAGTACATTCTTGTCTTTGAAGAGGAATGAGTTCCCGTAGTAATTGTGCATATTTATAGAATGGATAGTACATGAAAAAGATTAGAGGGTGAAACACTATGCTCAAAGCACTATTTTCACCTTTAATAAGACAGTTTCAACCCCCTGGAAAATACGCGTAACTGAGGCAGTACTCATCGAAAGGTGGGTTTGCGAGATTAGCACCAAGGTGGTTGGTTTCTGGGACAGATGGAAGTGGAGCTCAGGTTTGGAGAAAGCCATTCCCAAGTTCTCTCCTGGTTTGGGAATACTAGCCATGAGGTGTTTGATAATCTAGGAGTGTCCTTTTCTTAAAAGGCATAGTTAGTGATCCAGTAGAGGAAAGGAGAATTGCCTCAAGTCCTAAAGAAGCCTGATGAGTGCTACCTGATGAGGACCAGGTTTAATAGTATTGTATTTCTAGTTATTTTATTGCCACAGGAAGTTTACTCATCCAAAAGAAACATGGGCGAGATAGAGGTAAGTGGCACTGAGCCAAACCTCTCTGACCACTTTCGTCTGCCATCTCGCCTTTCTAAAGCTGGGCGGCAAGGCTTCTTTCAAAGGGTCAGTTCTAATCAATTAAACAATGTGTTGAGAAGGATTCTGAGGCTGACTCGAGTCCCTATGGGAAAATGGAGCCTGACTGATTAAGGACATCTGTTACATGTAGGGGAGAGCAGCAGGACCCATCTGGCATATTCGTATTCATCAACTCAGATCAAAGAAAGATAATTTTATACATAACAGCTGGATGGCATTAGAGGATTGCGTAATGTGTTATAATGACTTTGTGATTGTTACAGGCATAAACTCTTGACTTCGTTGGCCTAATCTCTCTGACTAAATTACTTGGTTATAGAACTTTAGGTGATATGAAATGTCCTCTAGCTTTGGGTAAATCAGGATCAGTTTGGGACTGGGATTGAGGCTTTGATATCTGCTATGTTTTCTTCAGATTCCCTCAGATGTGTTTGGACCTAGAGTCCTCGTGGGCTGAATGTAGAGCCCCCCAGAGCCAATGGAACTGATTCCTTAAGGCCTCTCTGAACAACAGGCTGATGGTTTGGCGGGTGCGTTAGTGTTAGCTCAGATAATGTTCCACATCTAGAGGGTTCATCTAACCCTCATGGCAACCGCAGATGGTTGAGATGGACTCCTCATCATATTGATAGAGGAAAGGAAGCCTGGAGACATGACTATGATGTGACGCAGGTTATCAATCATAGAAGCCAGGTGCAAACCCATGCCTTTGCCCCATTCCATATTCTGATACTGATGGGAGAGAATGTAAAACAAGTGTCTCCAATACAAAAAGGGCAGTGATACTGTGTTCATTATGTGACTCTTAAAGTCAGTGCTTTCATTAAGTGCCGGGCAGAATTTCATATACCAACTAGAGTGTGTGTGTGTGTGTGTGTGTGTGTGTGTGTGTGTGTGTGTGTGCTGTGTGTGCGAGAGAGAGAGAGAGAGAGAGAGAGAGAGAGAGAGAGAGAGAGAGAGAGAGAGAGAGGCACTCCCACATTTGAATGGAGATGGGTGGGAGAATAAACATAGCAAATATATGGAGCTACTGCCCCAGTCATTTAAAACAAAACAAAACAAAACTTTAAATATGCATGCATTTCACATAATCCAATAGGCTTTTTCAAAAGAAACAGCACCACTGACTCTATTTAAAACCTGTCAAAAGGACATTTATTATTGATTTTTTTTAAATAGGTACTAAAGGACAGAGTGATGTCTTAGTAGATTATTTAAAACACTTTTGGAAAAACTGTTTTCCTGTCTATAAGACAGGAACAGAAGGTAGCCACATACTTTTCACACACTAGATGTCCCCAATTTGTTTTATTTTTGGATTTTGAACTGCATGCTTTGCTATATAATGCAAAGGGCGTCACTTTGCAAAAATATTTGCATTTATGGGTATGCAAATGCCACTTTTGGGAAGAAAATCAAATGCTAAATGCATGTAGAACACTGATTAGTTAAGATATTCACATGATTGTATGAAATAAATAATCATCTAAAATACATCTGTTATATATTAAAAAAAACTACAGATGTTAAAATCATTTTATTTTCTACTGATTACAAAATTCATCCAATATGAGCTTGCGAGAAGCAAATAGCAACCACTTGGTGTTTACCTCCCTTTTCCAGGGCTGTTCCCTTCAGATTGAGGTGCCTGCCCTCCTGCGAGCCCTTCAGACCTTCCGTGTCCTATATTATGATGGTTCCCACAGTGGGTCATAGCATTTCCTGAGTGTCTACCCCACAAGACTGTGAGCTCTTTGAAATCAGGCACTATTTCTCTGTTCATCTTTTCTTCTTCAACATCTGAAAAAACAATGTTATATGTGTATATATATATATATATATGCATATATTATTATATAATAGTACATATAATATGTGATTTTATTCATCCATAAATATTATATATACATATATGTGTATGTATGTATAGCATAATTATTCTAGATATACAATCAGTAATTGTCACATGCGTTAAAGAGTTCAAGGATATTTGCTGTATGTCAGGGCCCCAGAAGACTCTACCCATAGTGCTTGATCTAGCCCCTAATGGAGAATTTCTGGTTTGGGGGTAGATGGTGTGGATGACCACTGACTGTATCACAGTGAAGCTATTGAAAAGGTACCTGGTGGCAGCATGGGGGCCAGTGGGGGAGTGGGGGTGGGGAGGAGGATGGGGTTTCCAGGAGGCATCCTACTGTGGCCGAATCAGTAGTCAAAGGAAGACAGCTATAGCACTGTGAAACAAATCCTGTATCGCCATCATTCAGCTGTAGACTTTTGGATACTTTTGCTCACATCTGAGTGTCTGAGGCTCAGCTAACTGAATATATAACATCTTTGGATTTTAGTGCCCCCGTTGCAAACAGTGCTTGGTGAGCGCCTGATGCTGGCTTGAACATTTTACTGTCCATCTTTAGTTCTTTCACATTTAGAAAAATGTTTTCTAAGCTTCCTAAAGGAACTCATTGTGTAAACATTTAGAAAAAGCCTGAGCCCATTTCTGAGAATATTGAATACAATTCCGGTTACTATTTCTGCTTAACAAATTACCCCCAAACCTACTGGTATAAAACTACAACCATTTGATTTTGCTCACAATTTTGAAGGTATATTATTTGAAAAAAGGGCTTACCAGGCATTTCTCATGTGGGGTTTCTCTTGAGATTGCAGGCAAATGTCAGCTGGGACCGCGGCCATTTGAAAGTTCAACTGGGCTGGGTACCCAAGATGTCTCTCTTTTTCCCATGGTTGGTGGTTTATCAGTCCTCCAGCTGAGAGATTAGCCAGGCTGTCAACAAAGCACCTAAATGGTTTCTCCAGCATGGTGGTTTCAGGGCAGTAGGGCATTGTAAATGGTGCCTGACTTCCCACAGAGTAAGCGCCCCAAAGAATACCCTCCTGTGACATAGCCTTGGAAGCAGGGCAAAGTCCCTTTTGGTCAAAGGTGACATAAGTGTACCCAAAGGACCCCACCTATCAATGGGAGAACTTAACAAAAATGAGAGCTATGTTTTGAAACTACGACAATCTCCTTTTTTTTCAAAATCTGTTTTTTCTTTTTCTTTTTTTAAAGATTTTATTGGGGAATTGGGGGAGGGGAACAGACAAGTTGCTGTCCTTTTGTTCTTCAGCCTAGTTGTGGAGGACGTTGCCTCACTGGCCCATGTTGGTATTATCATTGAGGTCTTCTAGGCTGAGGCAGTCGCTCACTGGCCATTGGACAGCAGCTCACGACAGCTCGCGCTGGCTGCTCACACTGGCTGCCGGTCACTCATGGTAGCTTACGGCAGCCCACTGCAGCAAGGACTGCAGCCTATACCGTCACTGGCGACTCATGGCAGCCCAGCTCCAGGTCGAGCTGTTGTTCACCATCTTAGCTATAGAGGGTGCAGTGTCACTGGCCCTCATGTGGGATCCGAACCGGGGATCTGAAGCCAGCTCAGAGCTGGCGCTCCCAAGCCAACTCTTAGCCAACGTGCCACTTGGCTGGTCCCAAAATCTGTTTTCTCTGCTATTTAAAATTGCAATAGCTTATCATGATATTTTTTTGTTTGTTTTGTTTTGTTTTGTTTCCCTGTATCTTTCTTAAGGTTCCCAAAAGTACCAAAGTATTATAAGGGGTAACTCTTTTAATGCTTTTCCTTAACAGATGTATATTAAGTATCCAGTATATACCATGAGGATTTTGCAAGAAACCCAGCACACCAATTAATCATGGGCCATACCTGCAAACTACTATCAAGTTGTGATCAATAATCACTGTCTATTGGGTCGTCAGGAAAGTCATGACTCATTTTTGCATTAAAAAAAAAAGTAAAATATGTCATGACTTTCCCGATGACCCAATAAATCAAAAGCACATTCTCCCAACTCCCACATCATCAACTCTTCAATCTCAAAGTGTTTCACCTCTTAAATCCCTGATGCCTTTTTTCTTTTTTCCTGGATTTGACCAGAAGAGTGGTGTCATGCTTTACAATAGCAGCAGAAGAAGCACTCTTTAAATTTTACTGTGAGCTGTGCCATCTGGACCAGGGGCTTAGAAATATATGTAAGTGAAATTTCATAAAAACAGGCCATTGGAAAACAAAATGTGTATTGTTCATTTTGGGGGAAACAATAGAGTGGAAATAAGGATGGCATATTTTTCCAGTGTAATGAATCTCAACAGTTTCCATTGTGATTGCTGGATCGTGTTTGATTGCCGGTTGTTAAATGAGCCAGCCTCTCGGAAAGTGGGAGTAGATCACTCAGCATAGCAGCAGACGGATGATGTTTGCTTTAAGGAGATTTGAACCATTGCAAATATCATTAAGGGCAGTGTCACAAAGACCAATGTCCGTTGCTTCCCCAGGCAGCCTGTTAACCATTGTACCTCTTAGGCCTCTAGAATCAGCCCTTTCCTCCCCACTTTTGTTTTTAGAGTTTTGCAGAAAAGAGTGGATTTCAAAGAGAGCCCTCAGCCGCAAATGTATTATGAAGACAGTGATAATAGATGGGGCATTTGGGAGCAACTGGGCAAGTTGCTGAGAAGCTGTGAGACGTTGTGCTGTGCTTTCCCTGCCCTCCTCTCTGGTTTTGAGTTGGCTTTGACTCTATTGCTCATTTCGGGAATGTTCTCTGCTCACTTTCTCAGGAGCTGTGAACCCCCCAAATGCCTTAATCAAGCCCCCACCCACAGGAAAAAGAAGTCACAAAGACTCTACTTATAGAACCTCAGCAGATGAAATGTACGAGTTAGTGTAATTGGAGATGAGATAAAAGATAAGTATCCCCCAAAATAGCTCGCTTCTTCCTGCCTCTGGCCAGTTTCCCGCATCAGAATCACGGATGGGTTAGAACTGCTGTCTTTAAACTTTTTACAGAACTCTGCGTTCAAACAAATTCCTATTTGGGAGCCCGTTATATAAAGCAGCTAACAAGTAGACCCAAGGGTACCTCAGAAACCGAGGTCTAGGATGTCCTCTAGGAGCCCCTCAGAAGATGCTCTCATCGTCTTATCAGTTGAGCAGTTCAGTAATAGCTGCACTTGACTGAATGAACATTTTCTGTCAGATACTTTGAGTAATTTCCAGTCCTCATAATCATCAAACTTTAGTAAGAGCATAATCAACACCATGTTGTCAAGTAATTGTGGCCCAAGAAAGATTAATATCCACCAACAGATAAATGGATACAGAAAATGTGACACATTCTATGTATATAATGGTGCACTATTCCACCTTTAAAAAGGAAGGAAATTCTGCAATGTGTGACAACGTGGATGAACCTTGAAGACATGACACTGAGTGAAACAACACAGTCAGAAGGACAAATGCTGCATGATTTCACTTATATGAGACATCTAACATAGTCAAACTTGTAGAAACAAAGAGTGGAATGGTGGTTGTCAGAGCCAGGGGGAGGAGGAAATGGGGAGTTATTCATCAATGGCATAAAGTTTCAGGTAGGCAACTTAAGTTGAGAGATCTGTTGTAAAACATTGTACCTATCATCAAAAACACTGTATTGTACATTTAAATTTTTGGTAAGAGCATCAGCCTCGTGGTAAGTATTTTTACCACAATAAAATATTTTTTAAAAGGAAAGAAAAGAAAGAAAGAACAATACGTTGCCCAGTTGAGGAGGGATAGCAGGATGTCAATCTAGATCCTCCTGGCTTTCCAGCACGAACCTCCGGCACTCTAAGGAGAAATGAAGGGAGCTAACAAGTCAGTCATGTGACCATGCTCACAGCACAGGCCTGCCCTCAGATGCCCTGCTTCCTCCTGCCACTCCCAGCTGTGCGGCGCCGGTAAACCACTTCACCTCGCTATTTTGATTTGTTTAAATTTTTACATTTAATTTACAGAGTTAATGAAAATATATTTTCAAGCTCAATAAACTACATTTTTAATAATTTGAGATGTAAGTCACATACCATAATATTCACCCATAAGTGTACAAATCAGCATTTTTTTAGTATATTCAGAGTTGTACAGTCATCACCACTACCTAATTTTAGAACATTTCATCACCCCAAAAAGAAACACCTTATCTGTTAGTAGTCACTCCTTATTTTTTCCTTTCCCCAACTCCTGGAAATCACTAATCTACAATACTTTCTGTTTAGCAAGAGGAAGCACTTGAAAGGATACAAGACCACAACTGGAAGGCCAGATCTGAAGGGTGAGGGACAGGCAGATATGGACACATGCGCAATCATGCGGCCTTATCAGTTTGTTACAGAGATGTTTTCCTCCCATGCATCTTATGTATGCCCCCAACGTAAGGGGCCTTTGAGGATTTGGGGAAGGGGGGGGCTGCATGGTTGTGTTCTGTGTTACCCCTATGAAGGAAAGGCATTATTCCATTAAGAGGAAGGCTCTATTTTATGACTGAAGAAGGGGCTACCATGAGCCACTTAAGGAGGGTTGTAAAGAAAATAGGGTTGCCGTATTTAGCAAAAAAACAGACCAAAACCCAAAACAAAACAAAAAAACAGGGTACCCTATTAAATTTTGAATTTCAAGTAAACTACAGATGATCTTTATTATAATTGCTGTGTAATATTTGGGATATACTCATACTAGGATATTTATTTGCTGTTTATCTGAAGTTCAAATTTAATTGGAAGACCTATGTTTTATGTGGCAACCTTAAAAGAAACTAGAAGACTTGTTGATGAGAAAATGTACATCTTGGGATAGTGCGAAGGAAGGGGCGATGTTGATGGGAAAAAATATATATTTAATTTAACTGGTGCAAATGATTAAGTCTACATAATTCTCAGGTAAACTGGGTTATAACCAAAGCCAGGAACTTCAGTGCAATCAATGTATTGAGTGACTCTTATATACCAAATATATGATGTCATAAACTGGGAAACTGAGATTAAGAAGCCAAACTCAATGCCCTAGAGTAACTTGCTCTCTGGAAGAACCAGACAAGCAAATTGATATTTGAAGCGAAGTGTTATAAGCAAAATCTCTGTGCAATAATGGCATAGAGGATGGAGTTCTTAGTTTTGCCTGCGAGTTCAGAGAAAACCATTGCACGTGAAGTCGGACCTTGAAAAATGAAAACAAGAGGTAGGTGTGATCACAAACTTGGCCAGTGGTCAGCTACGATCGGAATGTGGGGTGTAGACAGGTAAGAAGGTAGATTGAGATATAGTTTAAAGATGGGCTGGAATCGTGTCATTAGAGGCTATACAGACAAGGGGTTGTGAGGAAGCGTTCAGGCAGGAGAGAAGCAAGATCTACTCAGTAACTTAGGAAATGATAATAGAATTTTAAATGGCAATATATTTTAAACATGTTTGAAATTATTGGATTAAGTTTGGTAGTTAAATACTTTCTTAGTATTTCTTTTAAATCATCTCATTTTTGGCCAGTTCATGTTTTATTCATGAGGAGAGCAATAGACTTGCCGAGAAGAGCATGTTCTTTGGGTCAGACAATGCTGGAACCAAAGATGGGAGAACAATAGTACACACCTTGTGGGGATTTATGAATTTTAAATAGAATGATATACATATAAAATACCATAAAATGAGTGCTCAACAACAACAAAATATTACCATAAATTTTGATAGAAATAATTTGTTTTTGTCACACTTTTGCCTACAGCTCTTATGCTTGACTGCTCCTTAAGGATCTCTGGCCGCCTTGAAAATTCCAAACTCTCAGCTATTTCTAGAAGCTCAGGAAACCGGCCACACATGTTTATATCCAGCCTACTCATGCCAGGCGCTGCTGTTTGTCAAACGCCACGTTTGTAGCACCGTTTCTCCTGGTATCAGAAGTTTTTCCCTGCTAGTCATGGGATACCCCCGGCTTCCACCAGATACGCTACTGTAATCTTAGCCCCCTGAGGGCCCAAAGCAGAATCAGTGTCTTTGTCAGTAGTTTTATCCTCAGTGTGTTTCAGAGTTTAATGGAGCTGCTTTTTTGATTTTTTTTTTCTTTTCTGCTTTCTATACAACCAAGATAGGTGTCTGTTAGGAGCTTGGCAAAAAGAACCATGGGCTTCATAACTTGCCCTTCCCCCAACGACCACAGCTATACTGGGTTTAGGCTTGTTACCTCAGTATAACATGTCCCACAAGACTCCTCCATCACCTGACACAAGGAGACTTTCCTCCCCTTCCTGGCCCTCCTCACTCTCATCCCCATATGATAGAATAGAGCAGAGAATAAAAATGAAATAAGACTTTTCTGTACAAGTTGATGATGCCCATTTGAATTACTGTAGTGATGAGTATTCCCACAGAGGAGCCTGAATAAAGATTTTATAATCTGATCGAAAACCTCCGTTTTGTCTTCCTAAACCATGAAGGTATGAAATATTCATTGCAAGATGAAGCTACCCAGGGCCTGAGTATGAGCAGGGCTGCCTTGGGTTTCTCTCGCTTACCTCGTCAGCATGTTCCTTTCATCTTCTTCAGTTGGAGCCAGTAGACTCAGTGTCTCTTCCTTCCAGCTGACCAATAATTCACAGACATATGCGGCTAATCATTTTTCACTTGCAGCCTGTTTGCAAAGTCAGCCCACCACATGTCCGTTGCATTGTGTTCCTTGCTGCCAGGCCTGACTGTGCCATCTGCTGAGATAGGCGGCCCTTGCTTCACAGTTGTGGGTGTATGAGAGGTTAGTCCAGGGAGGCTGCAAACTGAGCGAGAGAGAGCAGAGCCCCTGGAGGGAGACAGGTTCACAAGTCACAGAGGCCCTGTAGAGTACAGACCTTGGGCCCAAACCCTTACTAAATAGAAAACTTCATAAAAGCTTCTTATAGAAAATCTGACCCATTAGTGATTATTTCCTCAGTGTATATAGTGTTACGGGAAATATCATTCACAATCATTCCAGTAGCAAAGAGATTTTGTAAAGAGTACCAGCTGACGAGGTTTGGAAATTTTAAGAGACTTCTAGGGTCTCATAGGATTGTCACTGATAGTTATTTCTTTAGTCGTGAGAACAATCTCTGCTTTAAAGTCCAATTTGCTGTTCCGCATTTGTTAAATGGAGCTCTTAGCAGCAGGTCACTCCCATAATGGTGAATCTAATTCTGTTTTCTGAATTCTGTTGTAGTGTGCAATCTCAAGGGAAAAAGAATGGTTGGGACATCTACATCTTTCTTATGGTTTCAAAACACATATAGATTCAAATAAATAATAGCAAAAAGAATCTAGGTAAATCTACCTCTGCCCAATAGATCATTGATATTTTAAATGTGAAAGCTTGCTCTTTATTTTTTAGAAAAGCAAATAATAATACTTGCTGCCAAATGCTACTCCTGCACATGTGTCTATAAATCTACGTTTTTGGATATTGGCAAAGTTGCCGGGGAATAACAGAATAGATCCAAAAATCAATTTGTAAAACAAGAAAAACCGAGGGCTAACTCAGGTAATAAAGCAGTAAAAGTGAATGAATAATAAGGGCCCTGTTTTACCATTTGGTGGCCATTGCCAGAGCCATGCTGTTGTCTCCTGAAGAAACTGAAAAGAGTGTGGCCGGGTCACAGCTGAAGCTCCAGGCTTCTCAGAAATAGTGATGTGCGGGAAAATACCTTTCCACAGACGCATCACATTGGCTCCGATTTCCCTCAGTTTAAAGTCAGAAAAATGTGCCTGTCATTTTCTTGTTTTGTTTATTGAAAATTTCATTGGTTGCAGTGCTTGTTTCCCCTCAACAAAGCCATGTTCAACTAATTCCATTTCTAAGAGAAGTAGGTGTTTTAAGTAGTTATATATCTTATTGATTTTTAAGGGCAGCGCAGACACATCAAAGGCAGAGAAGGGTATTCAATTAGAATGTGACCTTTAAAAGCACAGAAACCTAAGTGTTTGACTGATTCAGGACTTTCAATATAATCTCAAATATTAACATTTTTCAAATGAAGAAGCTAAGGTGGAAAAAGTTGAGGTGATTTGTCCAGAACGTGTTACTCTATAAAGAAACAGTAACAGATCAGATAATAAAAAAACCACCACACACATTTACCCACGTGGCCTCTAGTCCACACACAGATGTGTGTGTCATAGAGGTGTTACATAGTCTTAAATGCCTCATAGGTATTAATTCAAGCTATATTGGAACCCTGTGTCCAACAAGACACCCACCATGCACTGTATGACTTGCTACGTATAACTGATCATCTATTTGGTGCAAGACCTGAATTCATTTGCCAATTGAAATTGCGGAGTGCAATGCATGTATCTGAAAATATTCTATACAATGAATTTGGTATAAAGGTTATGTTGGTGAAGCCCTCCCCACTTCAAATAGGGTAAAACTTAAGTGAATATATTTTCGAGACATTTCTTTAAGTTCAGGCACTTGCAATTAGTTAAGTAGGGTAACTATGAATGATCATCGGATATCTTTGTTGACTTGCCTCATCCGATGCAAATATTTCAAATGGGTAGGAGCTGTTTGCATAAAAGAAATGAACATTTTTTTTTCTGACGATTTGAGAAAAGCTTCCTTCTAGTCTATCACTAAGGAAACTGGTCTCAGTGGTGTACCTGGACGTCTGGATAGGAGAGAGGGTCTACCTAGTTGTGGGGTGTATGTGCCTAGTAGAGTTGAGCTAGTGATAGTGGGTTAAATTTGCCTTTATCCATTTTTTCTCTTATATCATCACTTCCACTTTTTCTGCTTCGTGTGTTCCCTGTGTCTTTGGTATAGTGTGAAGAGTTAATATTTTAGTCTATGCATACCTAAAGTGATTTTTTTTTAATTCCTTTTGACTATTTGCTTTGCCATACGAGTATACTATAATACATTCAGGTTGTCACTGTGTACTAAGGCAGAAGTTGGGACTTCTCCTTATAGCCTATCTTTATACTCAAAAGCAAATACCGTAAATCATTTGTTACACTTATTCATACTTATTTTAGCTTTTCAGGTTTAGACAAGTGCCCTTCAGTCTTTGGTTATAGCCAGCACTTCCAGGGTATTTTCTTTTTTTTTTAAGATTTTTATTGGGGAATTGGGGGATGGGAACAGCACTGGGGAATTGTGGGGAAGGGGAACAGACAAGTTGTTGTCCTTTTGTTCTTCAGTCTAGTTGTGGAGGATGTTGCTTCACTGGCCCAATTTGGCACCATCATTGTGCTCTTCCCGGGCGAGGCACATCAGTCGCCGGCTTCTGGACGGCCGCTCACGGCGGCTGCTGGCCGCTCACGCTGGCTGCTGGCTACACACGGTAGCCCATGGCAACCCACTGCCACTGGGACTGCAGCCTATGCTGTCGCCGGCGACCCACGGCAGCCCAGCTCCAGGTTGAGCTGTTGTTCAGCATCTTAGCTGTGGAGGGCAGTGTCACTGGCCCTCATATGTGGGATCCAAACCGGGGCCCTCTGGCGTCCCAAGCCAGCTTTTAACTACTGTGCCACTCGGCTGGCCCTCCAGGGTATTTTCAAGGTGAATTTCTCCAGGGTGATTTCTCAAAAAGTGGCCCACCTAATGAGAATGCAGGTGAATGATATTAAGAGCACTTGATATCTGAACAGTCTTTCAGAATTTACTAAGTAAATGTCTCCACCCTGTGAGGCATGTGTTTGTTATCCCTATTTTACAGATGAGGAAAACTGAGAAGTCAAGTAATGTTGCTAGGTATAATTAAGATCAAGGTCAGTTGTCTCTCCAGACTGAGTGCCCTCCCAGGACATGGGTTATGTGCCTACCAACACCACCCGCGGCTATCTTTGTATTGGAGTTTGTTTGTTTGTTTTTTCCCAGTAATTTTTTTTACTTGTTAAATTTATTGGGGTGACATTAGTTAGTAAAATTAGATAGGTTTCCAATGTACATTTTTGTAATACATCATCTATATATTGCATTGTGTGTTCACCACCCAGAGCCAGTTCTTCCATCACCAAATATAGAAGGTGCCAAAACAATGTATACACCTTTTAAGAGAGGAAAACTGTGTTAAAATTGTAATACTCAATATATACTGATAACAAAAGATGAATACAAGTCAAGTTTGACTTCTGCAATTACAAAACGTGCTCAAAGTGGTTACCATCAGTGTCCAGACACTTCTGATGATGGCGAGCTAATGCTTGAGCAATGTTGGCCAAAGTATCCACTTGTATACACTTTTTCGGCAACTCTGGTATTTGACCCCCTTTTCCCTTTTCTATCTCCTCCCTCCATACACACCCTCCTCCACCCCATTACCCTCTGGTAACCACTAAACTGTTGTGTGTGTCTGAGTTTTTTTGTTTCTTTGTTTGTCTTTGTACCTTTGTAGCTTTCAGTTTTATATCCCACATGTGAGTGAAGTGTGTATGGTTCCCGACTTTTTCTGTCTGACTTATTTCACTTAGCATGATAATCTCAAGGTCCATCCATGTTTTTAAAATGGCAGTATTTCATCTTTTCTTATGGCAGGGTAGTATTCCATTGTGTATATGTACCACATTTTCGTTATCCAGTCATCTATTGATGGACATTTCAATTTGCAGTTAGTACATAGGAATTACCTATGTGTCTTATTAAAATGCAGATTATGATTCTGACTTAGGTCTGGGATTCTGCCCTTGGAGCAGGCCTCCATCCGGTGCTTCTCAAGACCCCATGCTTCTTACGAGCTCCTGGCTCCGGGCCACCAGCTCACATGGAGTATAAGGCCCTTAGCAGTCTTCTGTCAGTTCGGTGGTGTAGCTCGGCACGTGCACTCCAATCCCGTTATGCTTTTCAGTGTTCACGTCTTCACTGTGATTAACTGCCTCTCCTCAGAAAACATATATGTGTCTTTATACGTACATCCTAAATTTAAGATGGATACATCTTAAATTATAATGGATATCAACACACAGAAATCATTCCATTTACAAAGAGTTCATTTTACAAAATAGCACAGCAGGAGAACATTTAGTTAAGCAGGCCATACACTGGCAAACAGTGTTCTGCAAAAACCTTGCATCCCATGTGACTGAAAACCAGAGGCACAGAGAAAATTAAATGTGCCTGTGCACTGTTTACATAGTGCGCTTCCGCTCAATTCATGCAGCCAAGTTGGGGCCTGATTGGTTCTGAGGGCTCACCTTCTGGCTCTGCCCAAGGGATTGGGTCTAAGTGCTAAGCCTCTGGGGAGCCTTTCATTGAACTGGAATAAAAGCAACCCCAGAGGGTTGGCGTTAGCATTTGCTATTGTCTCAATTCCGAGAGGCCCGAAACTAGGAAGTTTTTCATACTGGGTCCCAGTTGTTCCAGAATTTGTGCCTGAGAAGCCACAAGCCCAAAGAGCACACCAGATAACTGAGTGCGAGACATAGGTTTATTGAGACTTACTGACCCGGGAGTGTCTCCGGGGGCGGCCTGGCTGGAGGGGTAGTGATCTGCACGCAGGCGGAGAAGAAGCAAGGTTATAGAGGTCCAGCAAAACAAAGAGTGTTCTGCAGGAGAAACCACCTGGCAGTCCCTGCTCATATGTACACAAGATCCCAAGAAGCTGGGAGACCTTGACTGCTGGCCAGCTCATCTGCCTGTGGTCCAGGTCCCTACAGAGGTCAAAACTATTTAGGA